TTGCAATATTAGTTTTATTGGAATCTATATTTATGTTAACTTATTTTAGTGGCACAAGGAAACCTGTATAACTCATTTCCCTCTTCTTTTGTGTGTATGTGCATGCTGTTGTTGCTCCACATACTGTATCTTAATATATTAGACATGCAGCAAAGCCTTGTTATAATTATCACCTCATATAATTCTATGTCTTTTAAACAAGCTGAGAGGAGATCGTGACATAATTGTAGCATTTGTTGTATTACCATCTTATTTGTCATAATGAGTTTTCTTTTGTTCTTATAGACGTGCACTATCATTTGAAGTCATTTCCTTAGTGTGGTGAAGCCTTGTTCCCTCCATTGTCCTGCTGTTAGATTATCTGGAAAGTGCTATTGTGTTTTTCTTTGCAAAAATGCATCATGTCTTTCCCACTAATCCAATAGAAAGCCTTTCTAATCCATAGAACCAATATTTGCCAAAAATATTACTTTATTTGTATTTAAAGATAGGTATAACTATGTTACAATCTTCCTGCCTTAGCTTCTTGAGTAGCTAGGCCTACAGGTGTTCATTATCGCCCCTGTCTTTTAGGGTTGACTGGGAATTGAACTTGGGCCTCTTGTGTAGCACAGCCTGAGTGACAGTATCTACCAGCACATTTAGTATTTCTTATGCTGTATCTGCTAGCAATGAATCCCCAGCTTACTTGGGTGTCTCGATCCGTTATTGCATTGCTAATAGAAGTATTGGAGTCTGAGTGATTTAATAAAAAGAAGTTAATTTACAAATGGGAAGCACACAGGATGGAGGGCACTTGCAGAGAAACAGCTCCTGACTGATCTTTTATAACAGCTGTCTCTTGAGAACTAACCCCTTCTCACAGAGCTAGAACCTATTGGGTCTCGAGAGAAATCACTAATCCTTTCATGAGACTTGTTTCGATGGTACAGTCACCGTGAACCAATTACCACCCACTAGGTCTCACCCTAGGACATTAAGAAGGAATTACATTTTCACTTAACATATTTACACCACAGTCAATACAGTCAAGTCTCAACACTTGAACGTCTGGGGGAAATTCAAACCATATTCAAACTATAGCACTAGGAATATTTATTTGCCTTCATTTTGTCTTCGTTTTTAAACAATTTTTACTATGGCATATCTTGATGTGACTGTCTTTGCATTGATTCTACTTGGAATGTTGAGCTGGCTAGATGTCTAGATTGTTTTCCATCAAACTTGGGAAATTTCCAGCCATTATTTCTTTGAATATTTTTTGCACACCCCTCCCCTTCTGGTACTCATATTTCTGTGCCTATGTTGGTATCCTTTATTAATGCCTTGCACTTTCTGAGGCTTTATTAAGTTTTTCTTCATTCTTTCTGTGTTGTGGAGTGTATAATTCTTGATCTGTTCTTCAAGTTCATCAATCTTAACTTTTGTCAGTTTAAGCCCACTGTCGAATTCTTCTCGTGAATTTATATTAGTTACTGTACTTTTCAAGTACAGAACTTTAATTTTTAAAATATGTCTCTAGTGATAGTTTCTACCTGATAAGGTATTAACATTCTACGGTCTGACTGTGCTCTGAGACCAAAATGAAACAGACAGTTCAATAGAGGATTTCATAAAAGTTTATCAGGGGTAACATACAAACTAGAGTTAGGAAGCAGTCGAGGTTGATTCTCACATGTATGTGCAAGTATGCACTCAACCTCTCCCACGCACTGTGGTTCTGTGCTCTTCTCCAGCAAGCTGGAACTTTCAAAGGAGCTGGATAGAAGGAACAAACTTGGGAGGAAGGGATGAGGGCTAAAAGATCAAAGATCCATAGCTGGGCTGGCCCTGTAGCCTAGTGGTTAAGGGAAGCCAGCTCCTACATGGTCAACCACAGTTGGAATCCTGGCTCCTGTAGCTTGAAAAATGCCCTGGGCACATGTATGTGCACGCCCAAATCCCAACAGGATGGAGAGAGAGGAAAAAGGATGTGTAGTGTGACCACATCCCATAGGGAAGGTGCCTTCTCTCTCTGTTTCTGGCAGGCCATGTACCCTCTGGCAACTTATAGAAATACAAAGCACCTTTTGGGCTGCCCTGTGGCCAATTTGTTAAAGGAGCTAAATCCTACTGACTAGCTGAGGTTTGAATTCTAACCCCGGCAGGTTGAAAAACATGCTGGCAATGTGTGCATGTGTACCCCATATCTCAACAGGGTGGAGAAGGGATTGTGGGTGACCATGCTTTCTCCTTCTCTTCTCTGTCTCTCTGACAAGCATATTACACTCTGGTAAAAATCAGTCAGTCAGTCTATCGTAGACTCCCTTACTGTTACGGAAAAAGGGAGGCGAATTACCTATAGGGACATCCTGACTTCTTGGAGGCTAAAGATCAAGTACTCTTAGCCTTTTGATCATTATAGACAGTGGCTGGCTGGGGCAATTTATTAGAGAAAGGGTCCTGACCCCCTGGCCATGGACTGGTACCAGTCTGTGGCTTGTTAGGAACAGTGCTGCACAGCAAGAAGGTGAACAGTGGGTGAGTGAGCGAAACTCATCTGTATTTACAGCCTCTCCCCATAGGAGTGTGAACTGCACACGCAAGACATCTAGGTTGCCCGCTTTTTACGAGAATCTAATGCCTGATGATCTAAGGTGGCACTGAGATGAAGATGCTAGCACTGGAGAGAGGCTGCAAATACTACATTATGTTGAGTTGTATAATTATTTCATTATATATTACAATGTAATAATAGTAGAAATAAAGTGCATAATAAGTGTAATGCCCCTGAATCATCCTGAAGTCCCATCTTGCCTTCTCCCTATTCCCTTGGGTCCTGAAAAAATGTTCTCCCATGAAACTGGTCTCTGGTGTGAAAAAAATTGGGGACTGCTATATTAACAGGGTCTGAGGAACTGCCCTAGGTAAGAATTTATCCCAAGCGTTACTTCTGCTCAGGGCTAGTACTGAACAACTTTAGGATGCCACAAAAGAGTAGAGAGGCATAAAGATGGTGTTAGTTGGTACACTCACATACATACCTTCCTTTATTTCTCTCTGATTGCTTTAAGGCCTTTGAATATATTTATTATGGTTGTCCTAAAGTTTTTATTAGATGTAACAGCTAGTCTTCATAATTCCGGTTGTCTGTTTTTCCCTATGTGTGTGTCATACTTTTCTGTTGTTTTATATGTTTTGTGATTTATTGTTAAAAACTAGACATTTTAGGGGCCAGCAGGTGATATGGTGGTTAAGGTGCTGAACTCCCACATGGCCAACTGTGGTTTGAGTCCCGGGCCTTGAAAATTACACTGGGCTTATGTGTGTGCATGCCAAAAATCCCCAGAAGAGAAGGGATTGTGGTGTGGCAATCTTCCTCGGGGAGGAGATTTCTCACATTACTTCTTCCTGTCTTTATCTCAGGTAAGTGCACGTGCCTATGCTAAAAACCTTAAAAAACAAAACAAAACAAAACACTGGGCATTATAGGTAATATAACAACTCTAGATTCTGATTCCTAATCCTTTGGATATGTTATTATTGTTTGCCTTTTTTTTTTTTTTTTTTTTTTAATATCTGGCTTCACATTTAGTGAAGTCTGTCTTCTCCACCAGGGGAAGCCTCTGATGCTCCTCAGAGGGCATGGTCTTGGCCATGAGCGCTGTCATCTTTAGCAGGCCACTCCGTCACTTTCTCTGATCTCCGTGTTACGCTCTCTCTTTACTGGTGTCACTCTCAGCCCTTAGGAGCCACTCACTGCCAGCTGCTTATCCTTTTGTTTTCAACAATACCCTAGGGCCTGAATTACTCTACAGTGTGATATAATTAAATTTGGACTCCATTACAAAAGTTGGTTTTGAGGCCATCATCTGAAGTTTGTTCTGAGGGAGGGAGAGGGAGTGAGAGAGAGAATCCCCGACAAGGCCAGTTCATGTCAGAATCTGTTTTTTTCTTTTTTTTTTTCCCCCCAGTTCTCCATCCTGTTGACATCCTGGGCATGGCATGTGTGACTGGCATATTTCTTTCAGGTTGCCCAGGCCATAACTTAAACCCTGGTCAGCCTTGTGGGATCTGGCTTCCCCTGTGCAGTGCTTAGCTGTTGTGCTACAGGGCCAGTCCTCCAAAGTTCTCTTTTAATACAGTGTTAATGTGTCAAGTATTTACCTCTTACAAGAAATTCTTCCCTCTCCCAAGGTCAGAAAGATAATTTTCTCTGTTAAAAGTTTAAAATGTTTTAATTTTTCACATCTGTATCTTTAGTGCACCTAGGTTTTTGTGAGTGTATATGAAATAAGCACACATTTTCATTTTTTCCATATAGATTAATAGTTGACTCAACTTTTTAAATTGAATAGTCACTTGTTTCCTCATGAATCTGCAGAGCCTTTTAAGAAAATTTGATGTGACATATTTACATGAATCTATTTTGTAGTTGTTTTCTTTTCCATTGGTTAGTTTGTATAGTCCACTGCTTTTACACACCATCTTAATTACTTTATAGTTAGCTTATAAATATTATTTATTTTAAGCTTATTTGATTCTGTTTTCTAAGAAGGAGACAAGAGTGAGAGAGACAGACACACCCCTAACAGTGTCTTCATGCAGCAGTCCACCACCAACCTCAGTCAGATTTATCATAGGCTCATGTGTATGTTCCTAGTGGGTACAGGGAGATCTTCGGACTCAAACCTGGGATCATCCTTGTGGCTTTAGCATTGCAGAGTATTGTGTCATTACAGCAGGCTTGTGGGTAGTTTAGACATCACGAGGGAAAAGTGTTTTGTCTTTGCCTGGAATATCTTGCCATTTAGTTAGATTTTTAATATTTTAAATAGCTTCGAGTGAAAACATTTTTTCCATCCTGCTACGTATGTAATTAGCAGATATATAATTTGGTTTGTACTAATCACTTATTCAGAGCATTTTACAGTGTTGAGAGAAATGAGAAAAGAAAATACTTGATGATTATGCCTTATTTATTACTAGAGGTCACATTTTTTTTTTTCTTTTAACAATAGGAACAGTTTTGATCAAAAGTAACAGTGGTCAGTTGATGTTGGTGTCTCCTCAGCAAGCTGTAACAAGAGCCGAGACCACAAGTAACATAACTTCAAGGCCAGCAGTACCAACGAATACTCCAACTGTCAAAATTTGTACAATGCCGGTAATTATGCTGTTTTTCCCCCCCATTTTCTTAAGCTTCCCAGTTACTGTTTTTATATAACTGTTATATGTTCGATATTAAAAATAATTTAAGAATTGATTCTGCTCAATTTTTAAAATTAAATGCCTTTCTTTGAATATGTTAATTTAATCCAGTTGCGTATTTTTTCCCTCGGGGAGAGAGAGAGAGAAATCAACCCCCAGAGAATGGCCATACTCTTCTTGGAATTTTTGGGCATGCACACATGACCTGTGTGATTTTCAAGCCCCTTGGTTTGGAACTCAGACTGTAGTCAGCCTTGTGGGAATCTAGCACCTTATCCAGCATGCCACCTATTGGCCCTGGTTTTGTCATTTGACGATTATTAAAAGAATGAAAATGCATTCTTTATACTCAAAGACTTTATAGTCAAATATCCAAAGGGCTAGATATATCTTAAACAGAAAGAAAATAACCATTCTGCTTCAGTTTTACTTTGTGTTAAAATAGTAAGACTGCAGTTTATAGTATTCCTTTTTACCCATGTTGTAAAGAAATTTTTCTTTAAGATATACAGAAGTCTATTGTAATAGTTCATTAGTTTGGCATTGTTAGCAATGACTTATTTTACATACATGGTACTCTTCTCTTTTTTTTTTGGAGAGGTTTTTGCTATAGGGCACGTGTACTCGCCAGAAAGACAGAGACAGAGAGACAGAAAGCGAGAAATCACCCCCCAGGGGAGATGGCCATGCTGCAGTCCCTTCTCCTCCATTCTCCTCTCGGGATCTTGGGCACGCATGCACATGCGCCCGGTGTGAGTTTGTCACTGGGTCCAGGATTCAAAGCACAGTCGACTACATGGGAGTTCAGCGACATAGCCATTATGCTAACTGCTGGTCCCACTCTTTCTAGGTTAATGAAAGATCTTTCATATCTTACTTGACAGAGTTAAAAAAAATTATGGGCATCTTTATTTAAATAGAAAATGCTGAATGTCGTTTAGCATTTTTTTATGACTTAGGCTCATTCTAATGAAAGACTGAATTTTTTTATGGTAAATATCATTCCCTGTAAATCTTTTTCATTTTTGGTGCTCTTCTACTTTGATTCTAGGTTCTCATTCATTCATCTTCTCTGTTATAGCATTTTTTAATGTTCTAGTTCCATTTATTAACTGCTGTGGGTTGAGACTGCATTGGGTTGTCTGGAAAGTCATGACTTATTTTTCTGTTTTTTTTTTTTTTGTTTTTTCTACGCAAAAATGCTTTATGACTTTCTCTAAAACCCAATAGGGTTAGAACATTTTTGTTTGTAATTAAATGCTAAATAAAAATCTATATGTTTTCTGTAGGAACCAGAGTCAAGTTTAGGATTTCATTGCTGAATACTGTAATATTTATTTAGCTTCAGACATAGCATACATGAGGTGTATATTGAATTTGTTGCCTCCTTAGAAATATGAAGTGTCAACTGGCCACTTGATCAGTTAGGTTTATAGTATAGAATGTTCATAAACCCCATAAGATTATAAGACCAGTTACAATAAATAAGCTTGCTGTGGTAAAGTGTTGTAATGTTTACTAGAGTACTGATTGAATTTAAATTACTAATGCCAATGACTTTGTATTATCTTGCTTCTCTGCATTCCTCCTGCAAAGAATTCTAGCTCAAATTTAATCAAGAAAGTAGCAGTAGCACCTGTTAAAAATTTGGCGCAAGTAGGAGCTACTGTGGTAACCACTGCTCCGAAGCCTTCCCCTTCCCCGGTACAAGTAAGTTGTGACTTTTATTTGTGCACTAGTTATTTTGTCACCTTTATTATTTAGCTATTGCCTGCCAGGTGGGTAAGTTGCTGACAGTGTAACACTGAAGAGAGCAGTTCGTTGATACATGATGACACTTACCAAACGGAACTGTTCAAGGTATGGGGAACAAGATAAACATGATGTATATTCTTGGAATATCAATTTTAGTTAAGTGTATTAAATTAAGACAAATACATCTAATAGCCATGTATCCCAGTCTGTAGAAGCAGGTACTGAGAAAGAATTTGGTGTGTGGGATATTTAGGAATCAATACTTGTGGAATGGAAGGAGAGTAAATTAAGAATTTGAACTATAAGGGGGGGGGGCTGGATCTTCTCCATAAAGTTCATGGAAAATGCAAGTCATGAAAAGTCTGTATGTGGATTTCAATTTTTTGGGGGGGGCACCAAAGTAAACTTACCTTTAATTCCAGTTAGCTATGAACATGTTAAAGTACTCTTCTAGATACAGGCCCAACAAAGCTTCAGCCAACCTAGTAGAGAATTTTGCAGCATACGGCCTGTCAGCATTGCCGTGCTGTGGCCAGTGTGGTTGGCTGGGTTTAATTCTCACTCTGATCGGTCACTGGATGTGTGCTCTCCAGAAAGTTGTGCTTTGTGACCAGGGGATTTGCTACAACTGAGGCAAACCTGATGAGCTGATACTGGAGGCTAATAGTATTCCCAGCAACTAGAACCATACAGATCTCTCCTTGTGATGGTTCGCTGCAGTCTACGCATTACATCACTTGGGTCTACCTCCTCATACATGTTGGAGGCCAGCTATCCTGGTTTTGTAGTGGAGTTCTTTCTTAGGGAAATTAAAAAAAAGGTTAATGGGATGAACTGCAGTCCCTACTTCTGTAGCTAGTCTTAGACTGCATGATAATATCATTTTCCTCCTTCACTTTTCCACTTTGAATCCCCTCACCTTCAGCTACCCACTGTGCTAGTAGCTTCACTGGTAGCATTGCCAGATCGTCATCCCTGCTGGATCTGAGGACCTAATCACCATGCTCTTTTGAGGCCAGGGTTGCTTCACTTGTCCTTTTATTCACAACTGGGCAAAGGAATACTAGGAGGTATTTAAGTGAATCACCTGGATCCACCACACTTACACTTCACTTTTCTTCCATTATGCAATGACAAATGTACCTCCTCCAGAAAATCAAAGTCAAGTACCCCTCCCAAGATAATGACTACTGTCTTTTCTGCTAGTCCTTGGACACAGGGAATCTGACGTGCTCAACGACAGTCAGTGTCTTGTTTATAGGGACTCTTGCTATGTCCCTTAGGAAGTGTTTCCCCTCTTAGCAGAAGTGGGAAACATAAAGTCTCAGTGGCTTTTTGGGGGTAATGGTAAATGTGACCATTCTTCTTTCTGCTCCTTGGTTCCTTGATGTGTGTATTTGTACAATCGAGGGTATAGTACCATACCGAGGTTTTTGATATGGTGAGTATACTAAGTCTTGGAGAATGGAATCCCATCCTCTTAGAGTATTGCCTCTGAGTTTGTATTTCACTAGTTTCTTCTGTAGGATTTTCTAATACTTCACTAGGCCATCAGCTTCTTTGTCTGCCATATGTGATAGACCAGTGGATTCCATGGTTGTGGGACCACTACGATACTTAGTTTGCCATGAAAAGGGTATATCTTCTTGGAGCATGCTATGCGCAGTGCCATGCTGGTAGATCAGAACCTCTTTTGGTGTTCCAAAATTTATTTAATCATACTATTCTCATTTTTTCTCTCTACCAGAGGACAAGATGTGCAGTGAATCTATTTTTTTTCATTAAAATTTTTTTTATTATTTATTTATTTTTTAAGTTATTTATTTGATTGTATTTATGATGATTATTATTATTCGATTTGATGAAAGGGAGAGAGAGAGGGAAGGTGAGAAAGCAAGTCACCAGATCCAGAACTCGAACTGTGGTCAGCCAGGTGGGAGTTCCAGTGCCTTAACTACCATGCCATCTGGGGCTCCCTGTGCAGCGAATCTGTTTTTAAACAAATCTTTTTCTAATAATGGCTACCATTTATTGAGTGCTTAGTGTACTTGAAGCTTTTTTTAAGGAGAGATTTTTGCCGTAGGGCACTTGCACTCACTGGAAAGACAGAGAAAGTCAGAGAGACAGAAAGCGAGAAATCAAGAAATCACAACCCCCACCCCCCGGGGTGGGTGGGATGGCCACACTGTAATCCCTTCTCCTCCATTCTCTTCTCAGGATTTTGGGAATGCACGTACACATGCCCAGTGTGAGTTTTAAGCTATCAGGTCTGGGACTCAAACTGCAGTCGATTATGTAGGAGTCTGGCGAGGTAACCATTACACTATCTGCTGGTCCCTGCTTGAAGCTTTTTTTAGCCATCTCACATCCATCACCTTATTTCATCATTAAGTATTCTATAAAAAAGTATTATCTCAATTTTGTATATGTAAAATAGGTTAAGAGAGGTTAAGAAATTTACCTGATTTTTGCCAGTTCATGACAAAGTGGAGATTTGAACCTAGTCTTTGGCTCTGTGAACTCGTATTCCTAACTTTCTCTATACTGATGCCTCAAACTATTTTTTCCTCTCAGGATAAATTGTAAGGAGATAAATGAGCCAAAGAGTGAATTTAGGCTATTGATACCTACTATCCTATCTTTCATGAATGGTTCAACCTCTTTAGAGTAACAGTGCTTTGAATTTAACCAGGTTTTTCAATGGATATATTCCTGAGAGATTTTATATATATGTATGTGTGTGTGTGTGTGTGTGTGTGTGTGTGTGTGCATGTGTGTGTATGTATCTATGCATGCATAAATGATGCTATAGGTTAAATATGTAGTAAGAAGAGAACATACTTAACAATATGATCTTAGATACTTAGGGTGATTATTTGCATTGCACCTTATGGGTTTTTAGGATATGAGAGCAAATTCTGTTGTGCTGGGATAACTGTAGGAAGTCCACTGCACTCATCCGTCCGTCCCTCTTCTGGGAGCCAGTTTAGTGGTAAAATGTGAGTTTCTTGGCCATTATTTCATAAAGTGTATCAGAGGTTCTCCCTATCTGTAGACTTAAATCGTCCCCTTGCTAGCTGCAGTCACAGTTCTGTTTCTGTACTCTGAAAATTCCGTGAAGTTGTAATAGTTAGAAAGTAGAGGTTTGTCTTCATTAACTTAATAATCACAGTTGGTGAACACTAATTATATTTGCAGTTTTTGCCTGGGACAACCAGGCAAGCCAGGGGGGATGTGGTTAAGGCAGCAGGATTCCACGTGGCTGAATGGGCAGTTTTTGAGTCCTGGACCCAGAGACTTGAAAAACATGCTGGGTACATGTGTGTACATGCCCAAAATCCTGAGAGGAGAATGGAGGAGAAGGGATTGTGGTGTGGCCACTCCCCCAAGGGGGTGATTTCTCATTTATCTTCTCTCTTTGTCTCTCTCTGGAGAGTACTCATACCCTATAGCTAGCTAGCTACATAAATAAAATAAAATAAAAAGAAAGAAAGAAAACCAGGAGTTTTTTAACCTGGTGTTTGAGAATTCAGATGGGGAGAGTCTTTATTAAGCTTGAACTCTGAGTCTGAATTTCTTTTGACTATGAATGCAGGCTCCATACCATAGTGCCATGGAGTATTACATTGCGTTAATGTGTACCTGTGACTCTCACAATAGGAGTCAGTAGTAGTTTTGTATTTCCTTGTGTTATAGTTATCTTGAAATGTTGTTTATGCTAATTACCATATTGGAATTATGTTAATTATTAGCTCCACTACCTAATCTTGCTATTTCATGTATTAGTAAGAAAGTTGCTTATTACTGTATAAAAGATTAGTATACATAGTGTTCTTCAGTGGTATATCTGGGTTGCTTAGTTTGATTATTTTCCATATCCATGTTTGCTATTGATATTCTTGTGTAGACCAGTTGTTTTTCCTATTTAAATTGATGCATATTTCAACCTTAATTGCTCCTCAGTGATAGTCTAGGATACTAGAAAGTATCAAAGAATGAAGTTAATAATATCTGTGTCTACTTTGAGGGATAAAGCATCTCAGTTTTAGGCACATCCTGGAAATAAGGAGCTAAAAGTTGGAAATGAAGGGCAAGTAGAACTCCTTATAGTTGACTGACTGGTAAGGCAGATATGTGTCATAAGAAATTTTGAAAGTATTTTCCTGATAATAAGTACAGATATTTAAAATGGTTTAAAACATGACCAGTCTAGTAAATATAAGAGAATGTCTGCTGAGGAGAAAAAAAACTAGTTTGAAATCTTTGTGTTTATTTTTATGTTGTATTTGAAGTTACAGTTTGGCCCATTGTTAGACTATAATCAAATGTGCAAATGATTTAGAGTTGATATTTCTAGTCATATATACAGTGATTGATCTATCAGGCAGGTACAGAAAATGACCCTTCTTTTAATGTTCAAAATATTTGTTATAATTTTGTTGTGACTCTGTAACAGAGACAGTATGGTTTTGTTTTTTGTTTTGTTTTTTGAGAGGTTTTTGCTATAGGGTGCATGTGTTCACCAGAAAGACAGAGACAGAGAGATAGAGAGCGAGAAATCACCCCAGGGGGGATGGCCACGCCACAATCCCTTCTCCATTCTCCTCTTCGGATCTTGGGCACGCACGCACACACACATGCCTGCCTGAGTTTAAGCCACCGGGTCTGGGACTCGAACGACGGTCGTACATGGGAGTTCAGCGACATAGCCATTATGCTAATGCTGTCCCAAGACAGTATGGTTTTAAATATTTTTGAGAAAATGTTTACATGTCAACTTCTCAAACTGTTGAAAATCAAACACCTGGCATACAATTCACACATAAACCTCCTCAGCTCAGCCCTGCCTACCAAGTATTCTGTGATATACCATGTGCTAGCAAAGATCAGTCTCTTTTTCTTCCTTCAAAGTCTTCCTCAAAATAATCCTGTGGTTGTGGCTGCTCTTTTGCAATCTCTACTCACTACAATGCTGGACTGGGAAAGTCTAGGTTATTTTATGGTATGAATTCTTTCGTATAGCTTCTCTAATCCTCTCTGCTAGGCAGAACTGTCTATGGTGCCAGGCCATCTTTCCAAGAGCTTATGTTGACTTACTTGAGATCTACCTTAATTCCATAGTTTTCTGGATTAATCTTCAGATATGACATTCCAGTCAAAGCCCTATCCAATAACTAGTATTTCCAATTTCTGGTTCAAGGCAACAGGTATTATAGAACTTACACAAATAACCATTCTGCCACAAAATAAGCATACTTCCAAATATTTTCCAATTCCATAGGGTTCAGGATGGGAGAAAAGTTTGTTTCCATTTAAAGAAACCAACAAGAAGAAAAAACATTTAAACAAATTACCAAACCTATCAACAGCTCAAAAGAAAGCAAAATCCTTAAATTGGGAAAACAAAGCGTAGTAATGAAAAAGACGGTAATGTTTTACTCAAATATTATAACATTCTATTTCACTAGTTCAGTCTTAGGTAATTAATCTTCTGTTGAATTTGCAGTGTTACTGTGGTCCGATCTTTCCATATAAATCCTGGAAGTTAACATTCAGCGTTATTATTGATATTTCTTGTCCCTAGCATTAAGTTGGTTATTTTCTTGGTTGCTTTTTGTTCTTTTATTTCTGTATGTGTGTTTTTAGTTTTCCTGGTAAAGCACTCTTTTCAGAACTTCTTGAAGAGCTGATTTGGCTTTGGTAAATTCTTTCAGGTTTTGTTTATCTGAGAACATTTTTATCTTTTTCTCCTATAATGAAGGATAATCTTGCTGGGTATAGTATAGTATTCTTGGTTGAAACTGTTTTTACTTAACACTTTGAATATATTTTCCCATGTTTTTCCTTGTTTGCATTGTTTCTTATGAGAGGTCTGATGTTAGCCTGCTGGGATAATCTTTATAAGTGATCTGATGTTTCTTACTTGACAATTTTAGTATCTTGTCTTTGTCTGTGGATTTGGCCAATCTGGCAATGATGTGCCTTGGAGATCTTCTTGGGTTGATTCTATTAAGGGTCCTTTGTATTTCTTGGGTCTGGATATTTGAATGCCTCTCTAGATTTGGAAAGTTTTTTTCCAGGATTTCATGTCAATGCCCTGCTTAGTTTTTCACCTTCTGGGATACCGACTATTCGGATATTTGGGTGCTTAACGGTATCTAGTATTTCTTGTATAGTATTCTCAATTTTTCTGGTTATTTTATGTTTTTTTGGTTGTATTTTTCTAGATCAGAGGTCTTACCTTCAACATCTGAGATTGATCTTCTGCATGGACTAATCTGCTTTTAATAGTTTTGAGGGAGGTTTTGATTTCCTATATCTTTAATAGTTCTATTTGATTCTTTTTTACGGTGTGTATTTCCTCTTTCAGATCATGCAAGAACTTCCTTGCCTCCTGGAACTCATCTCTTTTCTCCTGCATCTTCTGGAGTTCATTCTCTCTCAGCTCTTGCATCTCATTTAGTTTTGTCACTATGAATATTCTGAATTCTTTATCAGACATTTCCATGAGATCCACGGTACTATCTGTGGATGATGAAGGATTGTTTCTTTTTTCACTTAGGAGAGAGATATTTTCTTGGCTTCTCATATTTCTTGTGTCTCTGGTGGTTTCTGGTCATTCTGTGACAAAATCTATCCTTTACTGTGTTTTGAAGTGTGGTGTCCACCGAAAGATTATGAGATCAGACTTATAAAAAGATTCTTCCTTAAAGCAGGAGGTTCAATAAGCATTGAGGATTTCAATGATCCTAAAAGTATTCAGATGCTTGGCTACTGTGCACCTAGGCCTGTCTAGATACTCAGTATGTGGAGACTTGTCTGAGTGTTTCAGGGGTCTAGAGGATGAGGTTTAGAGCATAACTTTAGTCGCTTTGGTCTCTGAATGTGCCAGGACACTCCTCTGGAAATGACCCTTCTTGAAATGCAGTTTGGTCTGCTAACTATGCACAGAGTTCACAGTTCATTTTATTGACTCAATAGAACTGATTTTCACACAGGTTTATTTAATATATACTACAACTCTTTTCTCCACTGTCCCCATCACATGTTTTATCAGTGCCTGTGTGGTCTTGTAAAGCATGGGGGAACTGTTGGCTGGCTGAGTGTGTAAGGCAGAGTTACTCTTGAATTTAGGAGGGTACATCCAACCCTGCAGTGAAATGAAGGAGGTGAAGGAAAACTGGGATTATGTACCTCTCATGCCCTTAAAGAGGTGGAATTGACACGAAAGGTGCGTATATCTGGTATGGTACAGGTGGTAGCTATATTAAAAAGCATTAAGAAAGACAGATTTGGTGCTGGAGTCAGGTTAAAATATTGACAGGGAAACAGGAAGCCATACGTATCCCCTCCTCATAAAACAATAGGATACTTTCCCTGAGCTCACATTACATTGGGCCTTCTTTGCCTTCGTGAGAGAGGAAGACAGCAGTTTGAGAAACTCTGCCCTTCACTGCTCAAGCGCAGTCATAATCGCCAGCTAAAGTTCCAGTAAATATTGAAGTACCAAGAGTTAATGGCTGATTGTGAGTTAGGCTTATTGAAGAAAGGATCTTGTTTACTGTATATAAAACTAAAAGTTTATTAGAAAATTTCTGAATGGAATTAGAAAAAACTGTATAGTCACTTATCTGGAGAGCAGGACTGAGGTACAAATAGGAAGGAGACACTAGTTACTGTATTGCCTTTGAGGTGCTCTATAGTTAATAAAGTTGTACTAATTTAGGTGTCATTTTAAATTTTACCTCTTTTGCTCAACATTTCATAATTAGTTCTAGTGCTCTCATTAATCAGTGTTTTTAATGTTCTTTCCATTTGTACCCTCAAAACATTCTTGTCTGACATGTGGGAAATTTTGGCGTATATTCAACTTCACCTGTCTTGACTGTTATGGAAGGAAATGTTCTTAAAGGTGATAGCAGAAACAAGCATTTAAATCAAACTGGTGGTATAGTGTTAAGTTTTCCATGTGAGTGTATGTAGTATTTTTCCCTTATACACCCGAACTTTTCTTATGACCTTCTAACTTTTAGTGTTTGACTTTAAATAAGACTGTTGCTTTATCTCTGTGGTTTTCTAAATTATAACTTTTGTCATAGCATGTATTAAACTTTTTATCCTGCAGGTGGTGCTAGAGTCACATTTTATTTTGATAGAGGGTGGAGGAAACTACCAAAATTCTTTACACTGTGAAAATAAGCTATCACATTTTGTAATATTCTTTTTGTGTACATTAATGATCTACATAAAAATAACATATCAATAGAAGTTAACCAGTTGGGCACTCTGCTTTGTACGTAAGAAAAAGCAGAAAGTAACAGAAGAGGAAATTCTGTATTTTCATACAAAGGGTTGCAATTTCAAATGCTCGTTGGAGAAATATTAGTATTTTTTGAGAGCTTATATGCTTGATGCTGTTTTCACAATCATAGGACAGTAGATACTATTGCTACCCTTGTCCTTATAGATAGGAGTCAGATCATTAGTAGGATTAAATAATGTAGGTGTAGTCAACACTTGGTAATAGCAATGCAAAGTGTAGGTGTAGTCAACACTTGGTAATAGCAATGCAAAGTAAGTGAGAATGAAACCCAGATCTTCTAGAATCCAGGATTCTTATAACTGTGTTACTTAGCCTTAGACTAGTTGAATAAACATAAAAGCAAAGGTGTTAGGATTCATTTGTAGTTTAGCTGAGGAATGAGGCATCTACTGATCTATCATAGTAATATATATCTAAATACATACCACTTTTAATTTCAGTCAGTGTCTGTGCCAACCAGTGTTGTCACAATTACTCCTGTAAAGCCGTTGAATACCGTAACTACCCTGAAGCCTTCAAATTTGGGAGCATCATCCACCCCTTCAAACGAGGCCAGTCTCAAAGCAGAGAACTCAGCAGCCGCTCAGACCAATCTTTCTCCAGTAAGCTCTTACTTGCACCGGGCATACATACAATTTCTTACTGCTGCCTTGCATTCTGTTTGTTAGTTAACATCGAGAGTGTTTGTTTGTGTTTCCATATTTAGGCGATGCTGGAAAATGTGAAGAAATGCAAGAACTTCCTTGCAATGTTAATAAAGCTAGCATGTAGTGGCTCACAGTCCCCAGAAATGGGGCAGAATGTGAAGAAGCTGGTGGAACAACTTTTGGTAAGCTAATACTGTAAAATCTCACATGCTCTGTGGAATCCACAGAACATGTTTTCAATGAGAAAAACGTATTTTGATGAGATGTATTTTAAATGTATTTCTTGATTTTTATTTGTTTTTGCTTCTTGAAAGCTTTGATTATAAATCTTAAGTTGTATAAGTCATTGATATCTTTCTCATTTGCTTTTTATTGATATATACTTAAGAGTATACAACATGATGTTCATACATAGAATAAGTATAATATGTGTGTGTGTAAATATATATATTGCATATGTATACTTTTTTATATATATTTATGCATATATAAATATATATTTTTTCTATGATAATGCTAGTCCAATTTCTCTTATCCTCAGTGGCCTAGGAGCAATTGACTGGTCAAATAGGAAATTATTATTAAAATTACAGAATGCCAGAAAACTAGGCTATCAACAAACAATTGTAATTAGTTTCTTGTGTGTCTAAATACCAACTTTGGGACCTGTGGCAGTTAACCTTATTAGGCCTTAGATTCCTTATCTATAAGACGAAAAGTGTAATCATGGTGATCTTGAAGGTTATTTTAAAGTACCAAGATGCTGTGTCCTTTAGCTACTAAATTATATGTGCTTGGTTTCTTATATCTTCTTTCAGGTGAAATACTTAGATTCACAAAAGAGGTTGAAGGTGGAAGTTAGCAAGGATTTTATAGTACATATTAAGACATACACTGAGGATATCACAGACAAAAGTAATTTTGGATTCTTTGAATTGCTATAATTTTCAGAATTCTCTGATGATATAATTAAAAATTTTGTATATATTTTGTATTATATTTTGTATATAAAATATGTATGCTTTGGGACCAGCAGTTGGGGTAATGGCTATGTTACTGGACTCCCATGTAGTTGACTGTGGTTTGAGTCCTGGACCTGGTGGCTTAAACTCACGCCGGGCATGTGTACATGTGTGCACAAAATTCAGAGAAGAGGATGGAGGAGGAGGGATTGTGGTGTGGCCATCCCCCTTGAGGGGTGATTTCTCTCTTTCTGTCTCTCTGTCTCTCTCTGTCTTTCTGGCGAGCACATGTGCCCTATAGCAAAAACCTCTCCCCCCCAAAAAAAAAGAAAAAGAAAAAAATATATCTACCAAAGAGTTGAGATTTAGTAAAATTAATTTTTACTGCTTCATAAGGACATTTTATTTTATGTATTTTTTAAAGTTTATTTGTTATTTCTACGACTGAGAGAGACAGAGAGGGAGACAGAGCTACAACACTCTTAACAGGGTCCCAGTGGCACCCCAGGGTCAGCCAGCCCCAGATCGTGGCTCAGGCGGCCTCTAGTCATGAATAGCAACCTTTTCACGTGAGTCTGCCTCATGAAATATAGTGTTCTACCACTGTATCACCATTTTGTAAAAAAAAAAAAAAAGTTTATTCTATGAGAGAGAGAGAAAGCATTAAGGATATTTTAAGATGAATTTTTTTTTTAACTAAGTATGTAGCAAAGTAGAGTATTGTAGTGGCATTTTAAAAAATTTATTTATTATTGTTATTTTTTAATTTACTATAGGATACATGAATTCAACAGAGAAAAACGAGGGAGAGAGAGAAAAAGAAAAAGTGAGAAAACATGCCTTCTGGTCCCGGACTTGAATTGCAGTCGGCTGTGTGGGAGTGCAGCACCCCAACCATCCTGCCATCTCTTGGCTCCCACAATGTTTGACATTGTCATTGTCTTTCTTTGTACCAGCAATTTTTCCTGCTATTGATTTTGTACTATTAGTGCAAATCTCAGCATTGTGAAAAAGGTCCTCTCCCCAGTTTGAGTATTCATGTGACAACAACTAAGATCTCACAGACCTCTAAAATGCTTAGAGTGTAAAGTAATAGGTAAGGGGCCAGCAGGTGGCATGGTGGTTAAGGTGCTAGACATCCCCACATGGCTGACCATGGTTTGATCCCAGACCTGGTGGCTTGCTTTCTCACTTACCCCCAAACCCCCTGTGTTTGTCTCTCTCTGGTCGAAATATAAAAAAGTAAAATTAATAAAATTAAATAAAGTAATAGGTAAGGGTTGTTAGTTCTTTGAAGCTGCTATTATAGACTTGTCCCAGCATTCTGTTGGGTTGTTGGGAAAGTCATGATGCATTTTTGTATAGAAAATTATATAAAAATTATGTCATGACTTTCCTGATGACCTAATAAATATATTCTTTGCTTGGTTAAGGTAAAATAAAAACTGAAAACAAAACAAAAACAGAACAAAATACAGCAAAGCTCCAAACCAAGTAACTTCACTATTCCCTACCCTAAGAAATTTAGGACTCTCATGTTCTCATCTCTTAATTGTTCTTAACAGGTTGTAATGTAGCATTATTCAGCTAGCCAGCTCTTCTTTCACTTTGTTCACTGGGATTGTCAAAAAAAAAAAAAAAAAAAAAAAACCCAAAAAAGAAAAACAAACAAAAACACAAAACAAACCAGAAAACCTCATTGTGTTCCCCATGAATGAGATTGATCTTTATCATTTATGTTTACTCATTTTACAGGTGACATGGGGGAAAAAAATGTCTCCATGTAATGATAGATTTTGCCACTTATGAAATGCTTGCTTTATCTACAAATCATGAATTATACCCTTTGCCTCTTTTAAAATATTTGTAAACCTAATAGTGTTTTCTTTCTTTCACTTCTTAGGATGCAAAAATTGAAGCAGAAGAATTTACTAGAAAATTGTATGTTGAACTTAAGTCTTCACCTCAGCCTCATCTAGTTCCTTTTCTTAAGGTAGAGTTATGTGTTGCTTTGAAGAAATTGTCCGCTGTAGATTACTTTAAAATAAAGTGTGGAGGGGACCAGCAGGTGGCGTAGTGGTTAAGGTGCTGGACACTCCCACATGGCCAACCATGGTTTGAGTCCTGGACCTGGTGGCTTGTTTTCTCACTTTCCCTCTCTCTTGCTCTCTGTGTCTCTCTCTGGCCAAATTAAAATAAATGAATGAGTAAATAAAATTAAATAAAAATAAAGTGTGGAGACCAGTAGATGGCGTATGGTTACGTCATTGGACTCCTACATGGTGGACCATGATTTGAGTCCTGGACCCGGTTGCTTAAAACTCACCCTGGGTGCACACTTGTATGTGTTAAAATCTTGAGAAGAAAATGAAGAAGGAATTGTGGCCTGACCATCACCCCAGGGGATGATTTTTCGCTTTCTTTCTCTCTGGTGAACGCACATGTCCATGTCTTATAGCAAAAATCTCTCACCAATGAATAAATAAATAAATAAATAAATAAAATAAATAAAGTCTGAGTATTTAAGTGTAATAGCAATTCAATGTGAAAAGAATGTGAGAAACCTCTCAGTGTGTTTGTAAACTATAAAGCATGTTCATAGTATTCTATTTGAATACTTAGAAAAAACAGAAGTAGCGTCTTAAATTTATGAACTTAATTTAATGATTATATTGTTTAATACTTGTATAGGAAGATTCTTGACCTATGTGTATGTGAGAGGCAGAGAGACAGAGAATAACTCTTCTTTTTTATTCTAACATCTCATATAACTTTATAGAAATAAACCACATAATGCCAAATTTGGTGGGGAGATCTATTCTTTTTAAAAATTACTTTAAGTATATTCTTCTACAATTTTTCGATTTAAATAAAATTTTGATGGTGGACACTAGCTATGATAACAAGAGCTTGTTTCAGCAGACTGAAAGAATCTATTCTTTTTAGAACTCAAAAATAGTGAAGACATCAAATTGAAATTTATAAAGTTATTCGAGACCCAGGGTTAAGACTTAGTCCTTAAATTTTGATGTAATAGAATGAGAAATTACTTTTTGAAAATTTGGGGTTAATTATCTATGGGAGATGAAAGAGGCTTCAAAGTGAAAGATGCTTCATGAAAGAAGAGTAGAGTGGGAAGGGGATGGGTCCCCTCATCTTCAAGATGTTTAAATAGCAGAAACGGTCCCAAAGGGGGCAACCAAGTTGACTGGGAGAATGCGAATTTTGCGTCACAAAGTGCAGCTGAGGAAATGGAGGTTGTATTAGCCAGAGAAGTGTGGTCTGGGCAGGGAAGATTGAAGGGCCAGCACAGTACCTAACAGTACAGGCATTAAGCATGCCACATGAAAGAGGTTTGACCTTTATAGTTCTAGAGCCTGGGACTAGGATTGGATGGATTAGTCTGAAAATGTGATGGGCTGTTTTGTAAAATGACTCATATATTTTTTCTGGATGACTCTGTTAATTGAGAAGTTGGGACAGTTTTTCCTTGGGTCCTTTTCTGTGCAAAGGTTCTGTGGGCCTTGGGTGCTGAACATTACCATGACAACTCTTGAGTTTGTCAGTGTTGCATGCTCATTAGATACACCGGAGGGGAGAAGGGGTAATCACCTACTTATGTATCAGATGGCTTGCTAGATAATTTTAACATTTAATTTGCATTGTTTGCCCTTAATTTTCATATCAGTTTTTTGAGAATAGGTGCCATAGTCTGATGTTTTCCCTTTTAGAGAGAAGAAAACCATTTAAATTGACTTTTTTTTAAAAGAATTATTTTATTTTACTTTCTATTTATTCATTCATTTATGTTTTAATTTTACCAGAGAGAGGGAGGGAGGGAGAAAGAGAGAGAAAGTGAGAAAAGCAAGCCATCAGGTCCAGGACTTGAACTGTGCAGCCATGTGGGAGTGTCTAGCACCTGTTGACGTGGGCAGCCATGTGGGATGGTCTAGCACCTTAACCACCACTCCACCCACTAGTCCACTAAATTGACTTTTATTGAGAGAGTAAGAGTGGAGGAGGGAGGGACCAGTAGTTAGCGTAATGGCTATGTCGCTGGACTCCCATGTAGTTGATCATGGTTCGAGTCCCAGACCCGGTGGCTTAAAGTCACACTGGGTGTGTGTACGCCCAAGATTCTGAGAGGAGAAAGGAGGAGAAGGGATTGCAGCGTGGCCATCCCCCCTGGGGGGTGATTTCTCGCTTTCTGTCTCTTTGTCTCTTTCTGGCGAGCGCATGCTCCCTATAGCAAAAACCTCTCAACAACAACAACAAAAAAAGAGTGGGGGAGGGAAAGAAAGAGGTGCTGATTGGACAGGGTCTTGCCTTTAGGATCCTCTAGCCTCCCAGTCAACCAGGGCTACAGACACACACCACTATACCTTGCCGGTTCACCTTGGTCCAGATCTGCACCTGGACATCCTGTGTGATCCCAACCTCACAGCCGTGCCCAATAACTGAGTTACAAGTTGATTAACTTGATTAAATGCCTAGGTCCAGTATCTCGGCTATCTGACTTTACTAACTAGCTAACATTGCCTTTAAATGACCAGATATTAATATGAAGTGCTTGCACTTTTACTTTTTTTTAAGAATCTATTCATTATTCTTTTTTTATTCTTGAGAGTTGTTTTTCCCTCATCCTCAAGAGCTTTTGGTAGTGTGATGTTGCACAGGGACAAGAGATTCACGATTTAAGCTTAATACTGGCCAGGTGATCAAGAAGTAATTCAGATATACATTTGTACTGTTGTCTTCTTAAATTTCATTAACATTTCTTTCCAATTGTGTTTTCCTGAGAATCCCCCTTCTTAACAAAGTCATTTTTAAATGTATTTCTGCAGTAGTATGTTTTCTGCCTTTCTTTTTTCTTAAAAAGAGATTTACTATAGGGTACACGTGCTCACTGGAGAGACAGAGAGACAGAGACAAAAAGTCAGAAATTACCCCCCCCCCCCAGGACCCAAAAGGAACAAATTACCCCCCCCCCCAGGAGGATGGCCATGCCACAGTTCCTTCTCCACTATTTTCCTCTTGGGATTTTGGTCACATACGCACTTGAGCCTGGCATGAGTTTTAAGCTGCCAGGTCTGGGACTTGAACTGTGGTCAACTACGTGGGAGCCCTGCGATGTAACCATTATGCCATCTGCTGATCCCTGTTTTCTGCCATTTTAAAATTTTGTACAAAGTTTCTCTGCTTACCTTAATTCTGTCATTTGTATATATATATTTTGAAAAATCTCCAGATATGAATGTCTCTTTTCTTAAATAATGGAAGGGGAACAGTAATTCTCATTTGCGTAAGTAGAGACTGTGGTTTTATTTTTGTTTATTTTTTGATACTTCCATTGTTTCTAGCTCCTATTAGGCAGGCTGAGTGAATTTAAATGTCACAGCAGGAACTCTTCCAAAGTAAACTGTGGAGATAACTTATCCTTCTACTTTTGCATCTTTTTTTTCCTTGCACACAAAACAAAATCCCCAGGTTGAAAATGCAAAACCTGCTGGTTTATTACTACTTCCTTTACTCTTTTAGCAAAATATAGACAGACACTGACTTAAAAATCCAGTCTGAGGGACTAGCAGTTAGCGTAATGGCTATGTCGCTGAACTCCCATGTAGCCGACTGCAGTTCGAGTCCTGAACCCGGTGGCTTAAACTCACGCCAGGCACGTTTAAGTAAATGCCCAAGATCCTGAGAAGAGAATGGAGGAGAAAGGATTGGGGCATGGCCATCCCCCCTGGGGGGTGATTTCTTGCTTTCTATCTGTCTCTGTCTTTCGGGCGAGCGCACGTGCCCTATAGCAAAAACCTCTCAAAAAAAAAAAAAAAATCCAATCAGATGGCCAGCCCAGTGGAGCAGTGGTTAAGTGCTCCACAGAGGAAACTGGATCTCTCATGGCTGACCTGGATTCAAGCCCAGACCCCATAAGGGCACATGTGCTTGCCAGAAAGACAGAGAGAGAGTGAGAGAGAGAGATACAGAAAGTGAGAAATCACCACCCTTCCAGGAGGTATGGCCACGCTGCAATCTATTCTCCATTCTCCTCTTGGGATCTTGGGCATGCATGCACATGCGCCTGCTGTCAGTTTAAGCCACTGGGTCCAGGACTCGAACCTCAGTCGACTACATGCAAGTCCAATGACATAGCCATTACATCAACTGCTGGTCCCCAAAAGGACCTAGATTCTGCTGTGCTATGGATAAAACTTACAGATTCCGAAGTTATTAATAGTCTATTATGGGGTTTAGATTAATACAGAGAAGGATGCTACAGTGGCCTATCAAATTGATACTGAGATAGATAAAATTAATAGAGACATAATAATTTCATGTTGGAAAAAGAAAGCACTCTTGGACCTTAAATATATCAATATTAACAGGATATCAATGATAATAGGTTCCAAGAGAAATACTGGCTATACTTTTGATCTGCTCTGTGTTGTAAAAATATGAAATATAAAGATTTTATCAGTAACTTAATTTGTTAATAGTTACCAGTTGGTTTTTTTTTTTCTTCCTTCTTTTCTAGAAAAGTGTGATTGCCTTACGACAACTTCTCCCTAACTCCCAGAGCTTCATTCAGCAGTGTGTTCAGCAGACATTCAGTGAGGTGGTCATTGCTACCTGTACCACAACAGTAACAACGTCCCCTCTGGTGACCACAACCGTTTCCTCAATCCAGTCTGAAAAGCCCATCTTTGTTTCTGGGGCAACAACACCCAGAACTGTGTCAGTGCAAACTCCGAATCCACTTGGTGGTCAAGGGGGAGCAAAAGCTGGAGTTGTGACACTTTGTCCTGTGGGTCCAGGTGTGGTTCCTCCTAGTACAACAGCTGGTGGTGTTTTGCTTCAGACTTCCAAACCTCTTGTGACATCTGTACCAAATACAGTGAGGACGGTCTCGCTTCAGCCTGAGAAGCCAGTTGTCTCTGCAGCGGCAGTACTGACCCTCCCATCGGTAACTTTTGGAGAAGCTTCAGCCACAGCTCTTTGTCTGTCACCCGGGAAACCTGTTGTTACTTCTGCTGGGACCACATCTGATAAGCCTGTTACTGGCGCTCCAGTCCAAAGCACACTTGTCCAGCCAGGCTCTGTCTTTTCACAACCAGCTGGGATTCCACAGGCAGTCAAAGTCAAGCAGCTAGTGAGTAGCATTTTATCCCTTCCTTGTTTTTTTATTTTTTTAAATTTTTTTAATTTTGAAGATTTCAGACATTCAGAAAACTAGCTAGACTAGTAAATAAGTGTAAGACTGAACAGCCTTTATCAAGTTGACTGTCTTGTTCAGAGTTTGCCTCATTTATTTTCTCTCTCTCTCGCTAGCCACATGGACAAACAGAGTTTTTTGCTGGACCATTTGAGAATTGGTTGTAGAGATTGTGACACTACATCCCTATTGTGCAGCTCATATAGAAAAGAACATTTGGGTTTATGGAATGTCCTGAAGCAGAAAACTGGTCATATTATCTTGAAGGCATTTGCATTTTGTAGGTTTGATTTGTTACACATTAGAAATCATAGCAATAAAGAAAAAGTGGGGCCAGCCAGTGGTGTAATGGTGAAGGAGGCTGGATCTCATATAACCAAGAGCATGGTTCAGATTCCATACTCAGCTGCTTCAGAAACATGCCAGGCACATGCACACGTGCGCCCAAAGTGCTGAAAGGAGGGAGAAGTGGAGGAGAAGGGATTGCAGCGTGACCACCTCCTATGGGGGGTACTTTCTTCATCTTTCCCTCTCTCTGTCTCTCTCCAGCATGTACCCTCTGGCAAATTTTTTAAAAACGTATAACAGAAAATCTGATGGTAAATTTTAGAGTTTTTATTCTCTACTTTCAGTCATAAAAAAATATAGAATAATCTACTTTTCTCTGTGAATTCTGCATTTTGTTTGTCCTTTGTTTCAATTTTAGTCTGCAATAGTCATATTTACCAGTTTAAAATGGCAAAAGCCTGAGTGCCTAGGCACTGAAAGTACATTGTACTTTGTTTTACAATAGATTTGCCGAGAGTCAAATAAGGTAAACCATTTCATATGGTATAGTCATGGAGGACCACACTTGCACGTTCTTTCAAATGAGTTAATTAAAAAAACTTTCTATCATTCAAGTTTGAAAATCATTAAAGGATATTATCAGTAAGTCAATTATATGCCATAGTCCACTTTAACTTTAGGTCTAAGTGAGAAGGGAAACACTCAGGGTGGTAGGAAATAAAACATTCTATGAGGACCAGCAGTTAGTGTAATGGCTATCTCGCTGGACTCCCATGTAGCCGACCGCGGTTCAAGTCCTGGACCCGGTGGCTTAAACTCATGCTGGGTGCGTGTGTGCGCGTGTCCCAAGATCCTGAGAGGAGAATGGAGAAGAAGGGATTTCAGCATGGCCATCCTCCCTGGCGGGATGATTTCTCGCTTTCTATCTCTCTATTTCTCTCTGTCTTTCTGGCAAGCGTATGCGCCCTCTAGCACAAACCTTCCCCCCAAAAAAGAAGGAAAACATTCTATGCATCTTAGAAGAAATATGCCAAGTCATTTAAATACTCGAATTGCCAGTGGATCAACTCTGTGGTCCATGCAGTATGGGCTGAAGAATACATAAACAGCTCTTGTTTGATGTCATGTTTAAAATTTTTGTAACTTATTTACCTTAATAATTGATCATGGGTTTAAAAATTCCTTATAAATATATACTTTTTCAGTTGTACTATTTCTTTAGGAAAATTATATAGGCCCCCCTCCCTCTTGTATAAAATGTTTAAATGTTGTGTTTTCAAGTTTTAAGAAATATCTTCCCAATGTACCATTGCCGGCTTAGTTTTTTAATTATCTTATAAAATTATTTTACATTTTTATTTCCCCCACCATTGTAAAAAAAATGTAGAGCCATCTTTTCCATCTCACTGATTATTATTTATTATCCTCCAGAATTCTGCTAAAGTTTTCAAGTAAATTAACTAGAATTATTTATTTATTTTTAGGTGTAACTTTTCCATTTTGTACTAATTGGCCTTCAGATGCTTCAAATGTGAAAATATAGACCTAATCAGTAGTTCTAGGAATTTCACCTAAAATCCTGTTCTTATAAACAGTTCATCTTACTGGCTGTCTATCAGTTCTAATATAGTAGTAGTTAAATGGTGATATACACTCAAACTACATGTTCAGTTTAGCATTTTACCAGTAAGTTTGTTTAAAAGTAAAGGAATTGCTTTATGAGTTACTAATGATGGATAGATAAGTAGATGCTTTCAGGAGACTCAGTGCTTGGAATGTTTCTTTAGATATTTGATTTATTATGTATTTATGCAGACGTCAGTCCATCTTAATTTTTTGATAACTACTACTTCTTAAATAGACATGTTATGGCACTAAATATCATTCAACATTTGTTTGTTTGCTTTTTTCCTTTTTAGGTAAAACTTACATAAAATGACAGGCACGGAACTTATGTGTACTGTGAATAAATGTCAGTTAGTTCTTAACCTTTGTAAATTTCCTATTAAAAAACAGAGGTTGCCATTACTTCCAAGTTCTCTCTTAGTCATTCCCACCCCAGACCTCATTCTTTCAGAAGCAATGATTCTGATAATTTTTTCCTACAGATTAATTTTGCTTGTTCTAGAACTCCATAGAAGTGGAATCACATAGTGTATGGGTGTTCCCATTTACTTGTTCAATCCATACTTGTGTTTCTTTGTTTCTTTTCCTTATGGAATTTAAAGAGAGTTTTTTGTTGGATATGTTGGAACATACTTAATATAAACCACTTTTGCTTAAAGAGTATTCTGTGATGCTTTTTGACCTACAAGCTGTTAGGATATATATTTATGTTTACATCCCAAGTAAAACTTGAGAATGTGACATGTCAAGAAAAAAAGCTAAGGTATGTATTCTACTCTTTTTTCCTTATTTCTTGAAGATTTTTTGGAGAGAAAATAAATAAAGGACTTAATTTTTAGAAAAACACAACAGCAGACCAGCAGATGGCATAGTGGTTATGTCGTTGAACTCCCATATAGCTGACTGTGGTTCGAGCCTTGGACCTGGTGGCTTGAAACTCACACTAAGTGTGTGTTTGTGTATGCCCAAAATCCCATGATGAGACTGGAGAAGGGATTGTGGCATGGCCATCCCTGCCTGGTGGTTGATTTCTTGCTTTGTGTTTCTGTCTCTGGAGCAAGTACATGTGCCCTATAGCAAAAGTCTCTCTTAAAAATAAAACAAAGCAAAAACAAAACAAAAGCTCTTTCTTTTTTAAAAAAAAGTGTTATTTATTTAATTTTTATTTATTATTATTGTTATTTTTTAATTTGACCAAAGAGAGAGAAGGAAAGTGAGAAAGTAAGACACCAGATCCGGGACTCAAACCTCAGTCAGCTATGTGGGAGCCCAGCCCCTTAACCACCACACTATCTGTTGGTCTCCCAGCTCTTTCTTTTGCTTGCAAGGTAGGAGCAAATATCTCTTCTTTGGGCCAGTTTCTATCTCTAAAATAATTTCAGTCTCTGTAAGATGCCTAATATTATGGTTTTAAATAGTACTTTCTTTGAAAGAACACTAATTCTCTTACACATTTATTGTTCATTGTACTTTATTTTTTCAGCCAGTATAAAGCTATATGCTACTGTTTTTTCTTTTATTTTTATTTATTTATTTATTTTTTTTATAGAGTAGGTACCTATTCTGCCCTGTAGGTGTTATAGTTATAGTCAGATGTTATAGTCGTTAAGATTAGGAGTGACAGGGATATGGAATCGTTAAATTCCACCTCAAAACTTCTTGTTATTTTTCAATACCTATCTGAAATGATATAAAGACTTAACTAGTAAACAACTTTCTAATAATATTTTATAACTGTTTCATAATTAAAATGGTGAAAAGAATACCCAATAAGGAACATCAAGGAGGGAAATATAAACAATAGGGAGATATTTACATTGAAATTGTTGAGTTTCTTTTCACTTTCAGTTTGAATGCATAGATAGGACTCTGAGTTTACATTACTTTCTATGATTTAAACCTGACCCTAGGACTTAAGAATACTCGACTATTATTATTATTATTATTATTTATTTATTTATTTTTGGAGAGCTTTTTGCTATAGGGTGCGTGCACTTGCCAGAAAGACAGAGAGAGACAGAGAGATAGCGAGAAATCCCCAGGGAGGATGGCCACACCACAATCCCTTCTCCATTCTCCTCTCGGGATTTTGGGCATACACACACGTGCCCAGCATGAGTTTAAGCCACCAGGTCCAGGATTCGAACTGCAGTCGACTACATGGGAGTCCAGCCATTATGCTAACTGCTGGTTGCACTCGAGTATTATTTTAGCTTTGAAATGCATCATTTTCCTAAGAGTTTTCGTCTATTTTCAAAGACTGATTCCGACTTAAATTTCTTATCTAGGGGTACTAATTGCTATAGGATTACTTACCCCAGGACATTTTATGTTTATTGTTTACCTTTTTTTTTCTTGTTCTTATAATACACACTAGACTTTTGATTTTATTTATAAAAAAAAATTAGATGGTGAACAAATTGTAAATTTGTTTTCAGAAAATTCTGTTTCAGAACTATGTCTCCTGGCAAGACCATGACTCATTTATAATAGCTGTGTATAAGTTAAGTTTTATGTAGTCCACTAAAATCAAGGTGCTGCTTTTATTTTCTTTTTAAGTTTTATGTAGTCCACTATCAATAGTCTGGCTCAAATGCATGGTAACTATGTTTCTTATTTGAAGTAAAAGACAATTACACTCTACTGTTTTTTTCTGTTTGTTTTTGTGTTTTTTTTTTTTTTTTGAGCTAAAATCAAGGTGCTGCTTTTATTTTCTTTTCCTCCATCACTAGCCCTCATCCTCTGTATTTTTTGAACTGTTAACTTGGAGCAGTGCCTTTACCATTGTCACTCTGGCAGTGGTTTAAGAAGGTTTTTTTTTTTTTGAGAGTTTTTTTCGCTATTGGGCACGTGCGCTCACCGGACAGAGAGAGACAGAGAGACAGGAAGCAAAAAATCACCCCCCAGGGGGGATGGTCACGCCGCAATCCCTTCTCCTCCATTCTCCTCTTGGGATCTTGGGCACGCACGCACACGCACCCGGCGTGAGTTTTAAGCCACCGGGTCCGGGACGCGAACCGCAGTTGACTACGTGGGAGTCCAGCGACATAGCCATTACGTTAACTGCTGTTCCCCAAGAAGATTTTTTTTTTAAGACAGATTTTTACTTTAGGGTGCATGTGCTCAGTAGAGAGACAGACAGAAAGTGAGAAATAACCCCCTGGGGGGATGACCACACCACAGTCCCTTCTCTTCCATTCTCTTCTGGGGATTTTTGGCATGCATGTGCTTGGCATGAGTTTTAAGCTGTCGGGTTCAGGACTTGAACCATGGTCAACTATGTGGGAGTCCAGTGACAACCATTGTGCCATCTGCTGGTCCCAAGAGGATACCTTTTCTTTAAAGAATTACTTTAACTTTATTCTTTCTTTCTTTATTTTAATTTGACCAGAGAGGGACACACACACATACACACATACACACACACATACACACACACACACGTAGAGAGAGAGAGAGAGAGAAATGGGAAGTGAAAAGGCAAGCCACCAGGTCCAGGACTCAAACTGCAGTCAGCCATGTGGGAGTCCAGCGCCCTTAACCACACCACACCACCTGCTGGCCCACCAGGAGATACTTTCAAGAATGATACAGACAAGGTTATGAGGACAAGAATTAATCATTTTTGTTGCTGGGTAAGGCATAGGTATTTTTGTTTTATTCTCTATTTTTGTGTTTGCTTGAGATTTTCCATTATGTTAAATGAAAATTACATCCGTATGGATATTTAAATTGGACAGTGTGAAATGCAAATTTGAATTCCTCTAAAAAATAATACATAATGTTCAAGATAGCCATGTTTTTCACTTTCAAACAGGATAATTTTGCTAACATACAAATTTAAATTTTAAGTAGGCATTCTTGTTATGCTAAGATAAAGGTATATTGACAGCTGAGTGAGCGCAGTCTGTTGCTAAAACTGCAAGCTTGTTCTTTCCTAAGTTGAATGACTATATTGATAGTTCTCATTGTTTCAGGTAGTCCAGCAGCCTTCAGGTGGCATTGCAAAACAAGTGACCACACTTTCCCATTCTTCAGCATTGACTATTCAGAAATCTGGACAGAAGAAGATGCCAGTGAACACCATAATATCTACTAGTCAGTTTCCTCCAGGTAGGTACCTTAGCCCCATCACATTGGATTTGGAAAAGGGTGATTTGGTCTTTGAAAGTTGGCCTCCATGACACAAGACTGTAAGATAACTGTTACATTCTTTGCATATACACTGACTCTTCAGGGGATGTTGGAATAAAAGAAGCAACTGCTCATGGTGTTCTATGATAAGTCCATCTACTAGTAAATAGGGACTTTTTAAACTTGTAATACATACTGTAGCTTATTTCTTCTTAAGATAGTCAAAATGATAGTTTTACAGTGCTGCTTATTCTGCTCATTTGAGACCATATAAAGATTATAAAGTGATTTCTCACGCAGGGAATAGATTCATTGCCACATTTATATTTAAGTGTAGTTCTAGGGCACCTTGAAATTTTATTTTATTAATTCTATATGTATTAAAAACTATTGTCCTGAGTTTTTCCTAATGTGGAATGATTCCTTTTTTTGTATTCCACTTTTTCCTTTCTTGTTTTGTTTTTATAGCTTCTATTCTAAAGCAAATTACTCTGCCTGGAAATAAAATTCTCTCACTTCAAGCATCTCCTATTCAGAAAAATAAAATCAAAGAAAATGGAACATGCTTCAGGTAAGGAAAATAAACTTGGTTTAAGGAAGTAATATTAAAAAAAAGAGATGACAGAAAAATCCCTAAATAAATTAGATACATTGATACCTTTTTAAAATCTAACAGAACTTTATTGAGTATAATTTATAAACAGTAAAGTACGCAAATCTTAAATATGGTTCAATGGATTTTGACATATATACCTGTGTAATCATAAATCCAGATCAAGATACTGAACACATCCATCACCTGTATGTGCCTTTCAAATCAATTACCCCTATCTCCTGCCTCTAGCAGCCACTGTTGTGTCCATCACCATAGATCACTTTTTTGTCTGTTTTTGAACCTCACACAAATGGAATATTACATTATTATCTATTATTTTGTATCTGACTTATTTCACTCAGCATGTTTTTGAGATCATCCGTACTGTTTTAGATATTAGAAGGTGGTTCTTTTGTATTACTCGAAAGTATTTTTGGTTTACAAATGTGTCTTTTTGCTATTGGTGGACATTGGGGTGGCTTCTAGTTTTTGACAGTTATATACAGTTAAGTATCCCTCATCCAGAATGTTTGGGACTGGAAGTTTCCCAGATACAGATTGCTTTTATTTTTTCAGATTTTGGGATATTTGCCAAATCCCATCTTGGGGATGGGACCTAATTCTACACATGAAACTCATCGATATTTCATATACACCTTACACATAAAGTAGTTTTATACATTTTGTTGCAGTGTTTTGACTGCAACCTGTCACATGATGTCATGCATAGAATTTTCTTTTGACACCACATTGGTGCTTAAGAACGTTTAGATTGTGGAGCATTGTGGATTATCAGATCAAAGATGTTCAGCCTGTATTGGTTCTGGTCCACCGTTTGGTGCTTTTTCTTTGGGAACTTCGAAAGTATGGATTTTATTCCTTTTGCTTCTCTTTGATTCTGACATTCTGCCCTCCCCCTGTCCCCCACTTCTTTACTTTTCATTTCCATGGTTGCTTTCTACCTTTCTTCAATGCCTCTACTATTTGCCCTTGTAAACTTGTTGATTCTGTGTTTTCTTGGAGCACTCTAAATTTTCCCCTTTTGTATCGTCTCCCTTTCAAAAGGTGCTTTTCTCTCTTTTTTGGTGTCCCTTCCACAAGAGTCTGGACATTTTAATGCCTGGCAATTTAAGTTGTGTGTCACACATGCTTTGATCTACCAGGACACTTTTTAGTATTCTCTGACTTGAAGTAGATACCTGCCTCCAGCTCTTTCATTTCTCTTTTCCACAGTTTTTTTCTGCTTTTGTTTGCTACAAACCTTGAAGCTATTTGAGGATGGGGGTGAACTGGGAGGTAGAGGGAGGAGACTTGAGCATCAGAGGATGAAAAAGTATGTATTGGAATACCTTCCTTTTCCCTTATAGATAGTTTGATATTTGGGTATTCTTTATCTTCAAGTTGTGCTGAGGCTGTAGTTACTGTTCTGCATTGTATTTGGAGGACATATTGGAAGATAGTCACCATTATCTTCCAACTCAATTTGTTTTGACAAAAGGTTAAACCCATGTACCAAGTACTACCTTCAAGATACTACATGGAATATTTCCAGTACCTCAAAGGATTCCTTCATGTTCCTTCCCCGTCGGTTCCCACCTTACAGATAGCCACTGGTCTGTTTCCTGTCACTGTAGGTTAGATACATCTTTCCTAGCATTTTGCCTAAGAGGCATCATACAGTTCATACTGTTGTAGCTGGCTTCCTTTGCCAACATGGTGTACACCCGTATTGTCTGTTTTGGTAGTTTGACTTTACTGCCGAATAGTATTCCATTGTATGGATATACTGTGGTGCTTTTGTTTGCACTGAATTACTTCTTATCTCTTCGCCTCTTGGACATTTGGGTTGCTTCCAGCTTTTGCCAATTGTGAATAAAAAAGTCAGGAACACTTGTGTCCATGTTGTTTGTTCATGGATTTTCCCCTTTAGTTCTGTTGAATAGATAGGGATAAAATTGCTGAGTCATGGTAACTCTGTATATGTTTAGCTCTGTAAGAAACTGCCAAAATGGTTCCCTAAACGACTGTCCTATTTTACACTACTGTCAGCAGTGTATGAGATTTTGTTCCAGTTGCTCCACATCTTTGCTTATAGTTGATAATACAGGGAGGTTTTGTTTCGTAATTTTTCAGTTTTAACCATTCTGGTTAGTATATCTTTGTAGCCCATTGGAGCTTTAATTTCATTTTCCTAGTGACTTATGATGGCAAGTATTTTTTTTTTTCCCATAGAGAAATTATTGGTAAAGGGTGAGTGTACTTGCCAGAGAGACAGAAAGACGTCGAGAAATCACCCCCCCAGAGGTTTGGCCACACCACAGTCTTTTCTCCTCCTTTCTGCTCTTGGTATTTTGAGTATGCATGCACTTGTGCACCGTGTGAGTCTTAAGTCACCAGTTCTGGGACTTGAACCACAGTTCACCACATGAGAGTCCAGTGATATAACCATAAGGCCATCTGCTGGTCCCTATGGCGAGTATATTTTTATGTCTTTATTGGCCATTTGAATAACCATGTTAGTGAGATGTTGGTTCAAATATTTTGCTTGCTTTAATTTTTTTAAATTATATTTTATTTGCCAGAGGGCACATATAGTTGAAAGAGAGAGGGGAGAGAGGGGCTTGGTCATGCTATAATCTCTTTTCCATTTCTCCATTCTGTCAAAATTTTGTATACATGTGTGCACATACATGCCAGGGTTATTTTTCAAGCTACCTGGGCTGGGATTGAAACCATGTAGTTATCCATATGAGATCTGGGCTTCCTTAATGACCTAGCCATGAGTCTGGCTTAGCCCGCTCTTAAAATTGAGTGTCTTCCCCATGAACTTATTCTGCATCTATGAATATTTAAAGACCATTAATTTTCTTAGTATTGTGAATTATGTTGATTTTTGTTGAATTATTTTATTTAACTTTGTTTATTTGTTTATTTTAATTTGACCAGAGAAGGACAGAGTGAGAGGGAGAGAGAAAGTGAGAAAGCAAGCTGCTAGATCCAGGACTTGAACCGTGACAACCATGTGGGAGTACTAACACCCTTAACCACCATGCCACCTGCCGGCTCCAATTATATTAATTTTCTAAGTATTTGAATGTTAAGCCAACCTTACATTTCCTAGGGGAGTAGCTTTCTTGTAATTGCTGTTTTGAGTACTATTTTGTTAAGGGTTTCGTGTTTATAGTCATGAGGGATTTAGGTATACAGTTTTCTGTTTTTCTAGTATCTTTACCAGACTTTGATTTCTGTAGATATATTGGCCTCAAAAAATAAGTCATAAAAGTCTTCCCTTCTCCTGTGTTTTTAAGTCTTTGTGTAAAACTAATATTATTCTATGTTAATGCTTTTAAGGAATCAATTTTTTATTTTATTTTTATCTGTTAGTCGTCTGTTAGTTTTTAAGAAGCATTCTTTTTATGTGGGTTTAAGTTGTTCCTCTTTTTCCTGCTTCATAAGGTGAAAATTTAGGTCATTAAATGTAAATATTTTGTAATATTAGCATTTAAAACTATAAATTTTCTAATGAAAATACTGATTTAACATTCAACTGGTTAGAGTATTTTGTTTCATTTTCACTCATATCAAAATCATTTTCTCCTTTTCAGTAATACAGATATTTGGGATTTTCTGTGTAGTTTGTTTTCTAACATAATTTTGTGATCAGAGAGTATACTCTAAATCCAGTGTTATTAAATTTATTGAGACTCCTTTCTGTAGCCAGTTTGAATATCTCATGCACACTTGTGAAAAAATGGGTACTATTTCATTTCCTTTGATTCTGTTGTGTCCCTCACCCCCTTTTTTTGCTATAATGTGTGTGTGCTTGCCAGACACAGAGAGAGAGAGAGAAATAACCCCTCAAGGGGGATGGCCATGTGTAATCTCTTCCTCTCTTCCCTTCCATTCTTCTCTTGGATTTTGGAAACACACACAAATGTGCACAGTGTGATTTTCAGGCTGCTGGATCAAGAACTCCAACAGCACAGTTGGCCATGTGGCATCTAGCTGCCTTCACCTCTGAACCACTTTCTGGCCCAGCTCTGTTAATTTTTGCATTATATATTTGAAGCTAGCTCTGTTATCAGGATACCTTGAGCCTTAGGAATGTGGCTGCACATACTGGGAATGCTCTCAGGCTGAAAGACATAAACAAAACTTCCCCATGTTGTTTCCATCTCCCAAGGGTTTAATTTCCTTTCAGTTTTTGCCTGCTTTCATTCAGTTTTCAAATGATTAGCTTTAAAAAAATTAAATGTAGATTTTTAAAAGTGATATTAATCAAGCTATTCTGTCATTACCAAAAACCACATCCTCTATTTCTTTTTTTGATGGATTATTATTCTGTGGGATAATTCTCTCTCTTTGTCTCTGTGTTCTTGAAAATTAATCATGGTTATTTTAAAGTCATTGCCTAATGTTTCCAATACCCAGGTTACCTGTGATGTTGTGTGTGTTGTCTGGCTTTTCAATCCTACTTTTTAGTGTTATTGGTTATATTTAACTTACTGTCAGACATGTATGAAAAAAATTATGGAATTTTGGATGCATCTCTCTAGAAAGAGAATTCATGCAGTGCCCTAGCAGCCAGCAAAGGAGCAGATCACCTCAATCTAGTCAGTAGCTGACTAGTTGAAACCTCTGTATAACCTTCCCAACACTGAGAAACATTGGTTCTCCCACCTCAGAATGTACTACCTCAAGGATGTCTACTAAGATTTAGGGTGCTTTTCTTTGCTGGAGTATGAACACCAAATTTTATTCTCAGGACTTCAAGATTACCTAAAAATCACTGTTTTTCATAACCTTTTTTGCTTGACTTCATTGGGTTTTCTTCTTTGGTGCTTTGTGCTAAATGCCTTACTTCTTTATAGACGCATGGGCCATTCCTCAAGGGTTTTATTTACTTATTTTTTAATTATTTAATTTTAGTATTTTTTTTTAATTTGCTAAGGGCACATGCACTCACCTGAGAGAGA